TACACAAAGTACAGTTCGTCGTACTTGGGATTTGGAATGCTCCTATTCCAAGCCTTGCCGTTGTATCTTGGGAGACGATTTCCATTCAAGCCGTTAGCACCGTTGCGGGGAAATTTCGTCTTAAGGACAGAGTCAACTCGCCTCGGCAAATATTCGTTCATAGCAGATCCTTTTCCAACAGAAAATACCCTTCTAGTTGTGTGTAAAAGATGTGCATCTTTCTTTCTTTCTTTCTTACTTGTACTCAGTTTACTTTCAATTTTCTTCATGTTTCTTCCCCAATTTTATTTTCCACAACCTACAACTTATACCCAACTTTTATAAAAAAAATTATATATATTATGAAAATTATTTATAATTTCCTTTTAGATTATGAAATTTTGTTCACATCCTACAAAAATCATCCAAAATTTATGAATTTCTTTTATTTTGGACAATATTTTGAATTTCTGAAATATTATATAATTTTATTTTCAGCCAAAAATTATCATGTTAAAATGCTTTCCGTAGTTCTAATTCTCAAAATTCATGCCTTTCATTTTTTACGTCCAAACATTGCATGGCATATTTTTTTTGAACCAGTTGTCGACGCAACCCGAGTGCTTCGTAATAAAGTAAAAATATTGGCATATTTATATTATATAAATGTAAGCACAAGAGGGTAATTACGCTACATAAACTAATAGCATTAGAAATTTAAGGGTTGACCGTTAAATTGAGGCATTGAAATGTCACTTTGTCGTAATTTATAGTACTTGCAGTGTATGCGACAACGGTGGTAGTAAAAAAAGTGCAATTTGTATCTAACCCAATATATACAGGTAGATAACTACACTACAGCTAAGTAATATATTGGATATGTATTGAATTAAGATACAGTCAAATCAAGATCACAATTGAACTATATATATATATATATATCCAATTTGCAGTAGAGAATACTTTTTGCTTCTTGATGTTGATTTTAATTTGGACAAATATATATGATACAATTGAAACATCTTTGTGGTTGAAATTTGGTTCAAAGTTCCAAGTGATATTAATCATTAGATTATGCATCTTTCTTTTTGGTACGAGAACAAGTTGCATCGAATTTGTGTTTAAGATTTAAATGTATCTTAGTGGACTAACTAAAATTAATAAAATTGTATAGCAAGACTAGCGACAAATTTTAAATTAAGAAAGGGTTGAAGATTGGGAAGATTCCAAGAAAATGGTGGAGTCATGGATTGGAGCTCCTCATGTATAACTAACTTCCCACTGTCTTCGGGGGCAGACCTATATATATATATCTATATTATATGCATTAATTAATTCATGGCATGATCTGTATATATGAAGGATGTTAGGAACTTAATGAACTCCATAATTGATATGTTTTAATGTTAAAAATAATCATTCACATGAAGTAGTGGAAATCTATATAATATATAAAAGTTGAATTCCACCTTTAATTACTTGATATTTGGCAATTTCAATTGGTGACATGTATTCAATTTCATCCAATGTGTTACATTAATTGGTGAAAATTAATCATCCAAATATATGCCACCGTTCCAACAT